AATACTAATAGGTACAATACAACCAAGTAAATGTGGGAAAAGATAGTCTACTCTCTTATATAGATTCACAATGCATATTAACATGTTAAAGGCTCACAAAAGAGAGACCTTTTAATCCATAGCTTACATTAATTACTTAAGCATGGAACATTTTTGTCTACCATGTTCTCATTAGCTTCTAGCACAGCAGTGTTCCATAGAACTCAAAGGCCATGACAAAAATTACATATTTGACAGTCAATACTTACCTGAAATGTACCTTGAGGTACACTGTCCATGTTTAGGCTGCCGGTCCTTACCCAAACTGCTCACCTCATCCCAAAAGCTGGATTTCCACTTTCCTAATGAACCTCTCTTCACTCTCAAGAAAATTCAACATGTACTAGTAGTTAATTATAATATATAAAAGGGGCACCCACATCAATAAATATATTAAAAAAAAAAAACACTTGCTATAGGTTGAATTGTGTCCTTCTGCCTGCCACTCAGAAAAAAAAAATTATGTTGGAGTCCTAACCTCCATATCAAAGAATGTGATTCTTACTGGGTACTAGTGGCTCACGCCCATAATCTTAGCTATTCAGGAGGCAGAGATCAGGAGGATCATGATTCAAAGCCAGCCTGGGCACATCGTTTTCAAGACCCTATCTCAAAAAAATCCTTCACAAAAAAGGGTTAGTGGAGTCTTTCAAAGTGTAGGCCCTGAGATTAAACCCTAGTACCATCAAAATAAATAAATAAATGTGATCTTATTTGAAGATAAGGTCTTTACAGAAATAATCAAGTTAAGATGAGGTCATTAGGTGGGTTTTCATCTATTATTACTGATATCCTTATAAAAACAGGAAATGTAGATACAGGGAGAGATACATGCATAGAGGAAAGACAATATGAAGATACAGGAAGAGTGCCACCTATAAGCCAAGGTATACCTGAGGCTACAAGAAACTAAGAGAAAGGAATGGAACTGATTCTTCCCCACAACTCTCAAAAAGAACTGGATCTGGTGACATCTTGCTTTTGGACTGGTTTAGCCTCTATAACCTTGAGACAATAACCCAGGTACACTACTAATTGCTATTTTATTTTATACTCAATGCATTTGTATAATAGCAATAATATTACTATTAGACCATAATAAAGGGAATTACAGAATGAGATGGTCTATCTTCAGAAATATGTTAGTTTTCCTTATTAGACTAAAGTGAAGCTATAAATTAAAAAGAATTCTGGGCTTAATCACTCTCCTCAGAAATTGCATCACTATATAGGTTCTATTTAACAACTTCTTTTCCTAAATGTCCTTGATTACAGTATCTTTTTCTCCTTTAACATAAGAAATCCTACTAACTGATAAAATATAAAGGAAAAACATGGCTCCCATTTTCCTCATTTTTGCAAATCTATAAAACATGACATAAATTTGAAACTCATGACTGCAAATTGTCTTAAAAATGTGAATATAGAAAAACTATTAAAAATTTTCTGAAAACAAAAATTTTACTCTGAAAATAAAACTGGGGCCTTGCCCCAAAATGCTGTTGTTAGGAAAAGAGAAGGAAATAAAATAGTATAACCCTTCTGAGACTCTTTCTATCTTTCCACCTCATACACGAGGTGGAAGATAGGAGATTAGATCTAAAATGTCTTTGAATTTCTCTAATCTTGCCAAAAATAAGGGACTCCTAAAAACTTGAAGATCTTCGGGTGCAAACAGGTAGAGACCCTCTACAATTGGATATGTACCGGTTAATTTGATGTGTCAACCTGAATGCCCAGATACATGGGTAAATGTTATTACTAGATACTTCTGGATGAGAATAATATTTTAATCAACAGACTGAGTGATATGGCTTGAAGATGCCCCCTGGGATTCATGTGGTGAAATTTAATCCCCATTATATGGTATAAAGGAGGTGAAAACTTAATCTGACTATGGTGCTATGGTGCATACAGGTGAGGCCTCTGGAAAGTGATTAAGATAAAACAAGGTCATTAGGTTGGAGCCCTAGGATTGAATCCCAATGGCTTTATAAAAAAAGAGAGACAGAGCAGAAGACATACACTTGCACTTTCTGTCTCTTGAAATGTAATGCCCCCTACCATCTCAGGACTCTGCCAGCAAGAAGGTCATCATCAAATGCAGCCCTTCTTCAACCTTGCAACTTCAGAACTGTGAGCCAAAATAAACCTCTTTTCTTTATAACCTACACAGTCTCTGGTATTATGTTATTAGCAAAAGAAAACAGACTAATACACTGAGTAAAGCAGATTGCCCTCTCAGTGTAGATGGCTTCCAATCAATCTATCAAAAGCCTGAACAAAGATTTCTTTATCTCTGCTTCACTGCTTTTGAGTCAGACATCCTTTCTCTTGCCTTTGGACTCAAACTCATACTTGGATTTGAATTTACACCATCAGTTCTCCTGGTTCTATAACCTTGGAGCTCAGACTACAGCTATACCTTTGGCTCTCCTAGACTTCCAGCTTCCTAACTAAAAATATTGGACTTCTTACCCTGCATAATTGTGTAAGTCAATTCCTTATGGTAAATCTCATTTTAACATGCAAATTAAAATAAGTATAAATATAATGATATATATATATATATATATCCTCTCTCTATATATAGGAGATAGGAATGTATGTGTGCCTATATATGTCTCCTATCAGTTCTGTTTCTCTGGAGAACTCAGGATGGAAAACTTGGTATGCACATTTCAAGATTTATGAAGAAGAAGAATGACAGACTAGTTTTCTAAAAATGCCCATATATTTTTCTTACCCTTACATTTACACTAAGTACACTAGATGCTACCTATTTTCCTTCTTCTTAACTAAAGAAAGGATGGTAACTGATAATAGCCCCTCATGCCACCTACTATAGAATAAGTGAATAATATACTTGGCTAATTGCAATGTTCAAAAAATTGCTATTGAGTAAATAAATAAATAAACAAATAACTCCAGTGTTTATCTAGATCTCTTATAAACTAGACTAAATGCTATCTGAGGTCACCCGACTATTTTATTTTTGGTCAAAACAATATATTAGCATTTTCTCTTGTCTTAAAATTAATGGTTTGACACTGAATAAACATAAATTAATACTTAATAGTTAGTGAAAAGGCAACAAAATTATTTATAGCTTATGGTGAACCACATCTCTAAAACATATTTTGTTTTAGAGTACACTTTATCTAAGTAAAAATTTTCTCCCTAAGAGTAACTATATACTACATGAAAAATAATATAAGTTTTAGGGCAGGGGTGTATGGCTCAGAGGTAAAGTGCTTGCCTAGTATGCAAAAGGCCCTGGGTTCAACTCCCACCACTGTTAAAAATAGGCCACTGGTGATGACTCATACCAAGTAATCCCAGATACTCAAAAGGCAGAGATCAGAAGGATCACAGTTCAAGACTGTTCTGCCCAAAATGTTAGCAAGACCCCATTTCAACAAATAAGCTTGGTATGGTGGTACACACCTACAATTCCAACTATGCAAGGGGAGGGATGTTACGTAGGAGGACCGGAGTTAGAGGCCAGCACTGTACCAAAAAGTAAGATCCTACCCAAAAAATAACAGAAGCAAAAATGGAAGGGGGTTGTGGCTCAAGTGATAAGAACAATTGCCTACCCAACACAAGACCCTGAGTTCAAACCCAGTACTGCCAAAACAAATAAACAAAAAAAGAATGTAACATTTAAATGTATTAGATTTGAATCATGAGTAAAATATTAGACTTGTCAGAGAATGTCATAAAACTATTGAGAATCAATTATATTACTATCACTCAACCAGGGTAAGACTAAGTAACTAAGAATAAAAAATGAAAAGTATCTAAGCCAGGAAAAAAAAACTCTCAAGGGGCTGAGCCTGCAGCTCAGTGGTAGAGCACCTGTCTAGTACCTGTGAGGCCCTGGGTTCTATCCCAATAATACAAATATAAGTAAGTAAATAAATAGATAATAAGATGTCAATACAATCAAACGAATTTGGCTCAGCATGCATGAAAAACTGTCTCTGATAAAGAAAATTCACAAAGTATGAATTAGGAAGTATCAGTTTTCAAAGACAAACCTATAAAGTACATGCTTCTTAAATTTGGACACGGATAAAATGATGAATTTTTCTTTTTCTTTTTTTTTTTTTTGGTGGCACTAGGGATTGAACTCAGGGCCTCACGCTTGCTAAGCAATTGTTCTACTTCTTGAACCACACCCCAGATCTTTTTGCTTTAGTGTGTTTTTAGATGGGGTCTTGAACTTTTGCCATGACCAGCCTCAGAGAGCAATCCTCAATGCTCTTCCTCTGGAGTAGCTAGGATCACAGGTGTGTGCCACTACACCCAGTCAAAACAAAGGTATTTATTTGCCACTTTGTGTAAGAGAGAGAGAGAGAGACAGAGAGAGAGAGAGAGAGAGAGAGAGAGAGAGAGAGTGAGAGAGAGAGAGAGAGTGTGTGTGTGTGTGTGTGTGTGTGTGTGTGTGTGTGTGTGTTGTTGAGGATCAAACCTAGGGACTTTCACATGTTAGGCAAGCATTCTACCACTGAGCTACATCCTCACCCATGACTATAATTTTTATATAAAGAATAACTATAAGTAACTTGAGCTAAGTTGATAGGGTTTTTCACTCACTTTTAATTTATTTTTTATGATATATAAAGAACAAACAAAAAATTCTCTTTGCTTTTGCTAGAGTTCTGTGATTTTTGTCTCTGAGAAACTATAAGAAATGTATTCCTGTCTTCAAGCCAAAAGACTCACAAATAATTTGAAAGCAGTGAATAATATTTAGTTTTCACGTAACAAATATTTTTATTACATTACTATCCTCAGAAATCTTAACAACAAGACCAACTAATAACATGCTTTTTTTATACAGGTAATTAAAGTCAAGAAAGAAAATGACAAGTGGTAATTTGTGAAATGCATATTTACTTTAGTACATTTTTATCTTTTCATGGTTACTACTAAAGAAATTGTTTAATGTTCACCTTTAGTTGTAGTGCCTTCTCTAAGTTTTCAATCTTTCTTTCAGCTTTCCTCAGCTTCTTTAGCTCCTCTGAGTCTATGGAAGAGCTCTTCGGGGACAAAGACCTTGAACGTTTCACAGGTGGTTCCTAGAGAATAAAACAAGGACATGGTTGAACTAGTTGAAACACTGGATTATGAAAGACATGCAAAATTAAAGAACAAGTAATTTTGAATACTAATAATGAATTATAAAAAAAAAAAATCCTGCATGGAATACCAGAGAAATAACAAGCGGAATTACCACAGTGCTACCGCTAAAGGTTTCTCTGTGACTCGTTAATGAGAATATTCATTTACATTTACATTGTTTCTTTCAGAATAATGATGTCCCATTAGGGAAGACTAAAGGGCTATAGACTCAGAAATGCAAGAAACCTCATTACAAAGGAGGGGATAGAGGCTGGTCTAATTGCTCTATAAGGGTCCAAGGTTACACTTGATAGGACAACCAGAAACAAGAGGGAAAGGATTTTTTTCCCTTTGAAATAGTTTAACACACTGTGAAGTAGAAGGAACAATATGCTTGAGGAATATAAATACAACAGACAGTAGATCTTATACCATAATGACCATATGGTCATTAACTATGATGTGGCTAACTAGAGACAAGAATGTGTGTTTATATTATGTAGCTTCATATACCAATCTGGAGAAGGAATATGAGAAAGCATCTATTAAGGTGGGCAACATAGTGTTCATCCTTACTGCATATTCTTATAAAAAAAAAGAAAGAAAATTTGTTCAAAATACATCTCTCCTTTTCTTGACTTTTATTAAAAACCAGTGGAACATCAAATTAGTATTCTTAAAATTCAGCAATACAGGAAGCAAACAAATTGACTTCTATAATGTATTTCAATTTTACAAGAATGTTTTCTTTCATTTAAATAAAGCTGGTAAAACTATTTCCAAATGGCAAGGAATGTATAATGTTTATGTTTTGATAAATAAAACTCATTTCTCTTAAAACTACTAATATTACAAGGAATAAGTAAGACTGCCACAAAAACATGGTCTAATTTCAAATACCTCCTTTATTAAGATAGTTTGTTCTACTCATAGGAAAAAAAATGGAAAGAACCAAAAACAATTATCTTGAAATAGTTTTGTTACTTAGAAAAAACATTCTTCCTCTACTGCTGATACAACAAGTATAAGAAAAATATGTGTAAAACTCCTTACTTTTAGGCAAATGTTATTTCAACTTATATAGAAATATTACATTTATAATGAAGAGTTAAGACTAAATAATGAACACTACAAAAAGAAAAAGCCAAGACATTAAAGAAAAACATGCTATGTAAAATTTGCTATTTTTTTCTACTGCTAGCCTTTAAATCTATACAAATACATAAATGCACAAGTTGATGTTAAAATCCATTCAATAGTTCATATTCCATATGAACAGTACCTTAGGTATCATATTAAAATGAAATAGTGTTAGATACTTTTCTATTGCAATTAAAGTTAAAAATAGAATAAATTATTAATACCATCTTAAAGTGAATTCTTAATCAAACAGATGAATGTATCAAATAGAAGATACTTGGTATACTACCTACAACATATTTAATTCATTAATTTAGGAACATATTATTTAATCTTTAAAAGGAAATAGTCCCTACTCCTAGGAAACATTTTATCAAGAATTTGGCATATAAGATTTTTCTAATTTCAATAATATAAGCAGACAAGTACATATTACTGTTTGCTTTTTAATTTCATCTCTCGCCTTGCTAGCCTCATCCTGAAGAATTCACAAAATGACAAAATGTCTCTACCTTGTGTTTTCCTTCAGAACTTATCATAATGCTCTTCTCTGGAAAATTCATGGTGGTAGATCTATTCTCAGACAGCTTTTCATTTGCTTCTTTCAGTTTCTCCTGTAAATACTCAATTTCAGACTTCTGTGAGACCATTAATGTTTCCAAGCTTGACAGTGACAGCTGTTGAGATACCTGTTTTTAAAAAAAAAAGTGTATATATATATATGTATTATTGTACTTTATACTATGCAAATATATTACATTATATAAGTATTAAGTATTCAGGGGAAATTAATTTTAACAGTAAACTACAAACTGCAAGGAGCTGGGGTATAGCTCAGTAGTACAGACCATGCATGCAAAAGGAAACTTCCATTAGCTAAAACTTATCATTCTAATAGAACAACATTTTTCAACAAAATCACCATGAGTCTATATTAATATTTTCATAAGTAATGTTGTCATATTTGCAGGAGAAAAAATTTAAACTATGGCTCTATGATATATACCACTCATCTATAAATTAGCCATTTTGAATTTATGATTAGACACATAAGTATTTCCTCACAAATAATCTATCATATGATCATTAAGACTCATACAATAACAGCGTACAATATAAACCTGGGAGAAGAAAAGTAATAATAGCACTATAAGTCCAAATAGCTTATAATGTATCATAAATTAATAATGACGCCTCAAGAATTCCGACAGTTTTAGAACTCAATACATTGTTTAGCATTCTCTTTTGAAATTTGTTCATATGTCAAATAAAGTGCTAATGGTAAGTAAGCCCCAAATTTTAAGAACAGAAATCACAGGAAAATTGAACTTTTAGGAGATGTGTTTAAACACTAACATTCTGTGAGACTGTCTTACTATCTCCAATGACTGGATTGAAACCATAAATCCCATGCTTATATACTATTTAAAATTAACCACATCATTTATAAAAATAAAATTATTGAATCAAACTGGAAATAAAGTTCTTATTAAGTTATCCACACAGAAATGTCAAAAAATATTATCGCACATGTACATGTGTGTGCATGTGTGTAGGTTCTGAACAAACAAGGGGAAATACTACCTTTTCTAGTTTTGTCAACTATTCTTTTTTTTGGTGGGATAAGAAAAAAATTCCTAATTCTAACCTGTAATTTTGAGGAAAATGAGACCATCTTTGATTTATATTATTATACTTTGCTCACATTTAAATCATCTGATTTACTTCCCAGTATTTATTCTATCATACTGCTAAACATTCTTCAAAGCATTGTATTTATTGTGCTATTATCATCCTTACAATAATTCCATACTCCACTGCTTTGTTTTGAACATTAAATTAAATACAGTAACTATTTTTCTATCAGTAAGTCTAAATGTTTTGCCCTACTCTTTCCTCCCCCTTTTAACAACTGTACTGATTTATTCCTTTATTATTCTTCCTATTTTATAATCAAAATCATGATCACAAATATTTCCTTTGATTGGCTGACAAGCTAAACCATTTTCAAAGACTATCTGCTCTTATGAAGGTTTCCATTAATAAAAATATGAAGGATATATTAGCAACTTGTTATTTGATAAATTAATTTTGAATAGTCAACCCAAAATTTAGAATAAAACAGAGGAAACATAATTTTAATTTATTGGTATGTCCAATAAGCGATGTAGCATTATTTTAAAAGTGAATTCTGGGTGGGCCTCCCTGACTATATGGCTTCGTGGTTGATAACATCATGGCAATGGCAAGAATGCTCAGAAGAGGAACAGATATGATGGTGAGACTGGAAGCAAGGATATGGGTGGTATCAGGCTCACATTTTTAATAACAGCTATTCTCAGCAATGAATTAGCAGGTCCCAAAAAACTACACCAATTCCTTCCAAGAGCGGCATCCTCCATGACGTAGGCCCCACTTCTTAAAGGTCTTATCATTCCACTCTCTAATAGCACCAAACTAGGGACCAAACTTCCAACACATGAATGCTTGAGCAAGAAATCAAAATTAAACCATAATAGATATACATTATCAATATGATTTATGAAGGCCAGTGTTGACCTTGATCATCTACTGTGAAGTGACTCTTTTGTGTCCAAACATACTATACTTTCACATACTTTTTGTAAACTAACCAATCATAAATATATATTCACATAATTATTACATGTATTATGTATATATGAAGAGCTATGTATACCCCATAGATCCTTATGTTATCTCTACATATCCTTGTCACTTTAAGTGCTATTTATATGTATTGCAAAATCAAGTTAACCAATCCCACTCTCTGTAGAAGTTCAATCTATAATCCTTAAAATCCTAGAATCTTTGAAAAGTTAACTTTTCCTGCTAATAATTATTTTACAAATTTCCTCTACTATTAAAAAGACCCTGTGCTCCTTTTTATTTACACTCTTGAATTATAATGTTATGTTGCTAGATTATAGTTAACCTGGTAACAAATGATCAGTGGAGTATGTGTCTAAAAAGCCCACAGCTGAAAATAGTATTTAATATAGAACTTTTTGTTTTGTTTTGCAGCTGGGAATTGAACCCAGGACCTCACATGTTACATATGCTCTACCACTTAGCTACACACTAAACCCCACATAACACTTTTATACATTGACCCACCAAAATAATTTTGATCACAATTTCTACAGAAGATGCAGAGGTAGGTAAGGAGCTTTTTAGTGTTGTGTTAATTTAGTGTTAAGTGTTTACAATTATATAGTTTAGCCAGGTGGTGGCACACACCTGTAATTACAGCACTCAGAAGGTGGAGGGACAGAATTGAGATCTCTCTTGAGGCCAACATGGGCTACAGAGTAAGTTCAACACCAAACTGAGCTACATGGTGAGACCCTGTCTCAAAAAAAACAAGGGCTGGAGATGTAACTCAATGGTAAAGCATAAACTTAGCATGCACAAAGGCCTAGATTTGATTCTCAGCATAAAAAAAAAATTCCACGGAAAAGAATTATATAACTTGAATATTTAGTCATGGTGTACCAAATCCAATCAACATTATATGATATTTTTACAGTGGAAACTAACTGAATATTGCCTGATAAGTATAAAATTGCTTCTCAATTATAATAGTTGCAAAGAATTGATAAGTAAAATTCTTTTACCTTATTAGTAAATTTTTAACTAAATTTCCTCCTGTATTTAAATAATGACTTCTTCCACACACCAGTATTTGGTGAAAAGGTATTGATATCATAGCATTTTACATACATTATCTTACTTATTTAAGAAATTTATAAACTGTAAACTGCAAACATATAATATAGCCTATGGCAAAACAAAAACCATTTAAAATACGTATGTCAACAAAAGAAATAGCTTCTCTTAAAAGAAGTATTTCCCTGAAATCAAGTATAAGTCAAACATACATGAGTATGTCTGCATATAATGTACATTTACATTTATTCTATATTGTGTATATTTGCAAATAAAACATTTAACATATACTTACATATAAGACAGAAAACCTAACATAAATGACTATTATCTGAACTCAAGAAAATCTTTTTGAAAGACAATATAAGAAGTATATATGAATATTTAATATATAATGTATACATATTATATATCATATATATGATTTTCTTCCCATGAAATACCCAAAGATCTTCAAAAACTTGACATTTTAATTAAAATTTATTGTAGAAATGCAACATATATTGCCAATTTAGAAAAAAATTGTTAGATGAATCATCTATAACCTGAAATATATAACTTTAATAATAATATATTCTTCAAAAAAGAGGAAAGAAAAATTCTATCAATCCAATATGATACTGCAAATGAAAAATTTTATCACAAAACCCCCCAAATGAGATTAGTATAGCAGTTTAAACTTATACGTCACTTTCAGAAAAACCAGAGTTGAGTAAAAATGTCTAATTTCAACAAAGGCAGCTGGCATTCTCTTTGTAAAAATACATTTACATGTCTTCCATCCACTCATTTTAAACCTGATATCCTCAGATTTTATTTAGAAGTCACAAAATTAAACAAAAATTATTGACTACATGTAGCTAAAATTTTAAATGTCACCATCTTCTCATAAATACCATCTAAATTTCATATTCTATCAAAATTCACTACTGTAGTCAGTCAAATTTAACTTTACTTTCATATCTAAGCATTTATATGGTGCAGTTAAGTTAGTGAATAGTGGAAGAAAAGGGAAAACTGATTTTATAACTCCCTTTTCACACAGTATGTAAAACAACAGTGAATGAGTTTTACATAGATGCTTTATCGTTTGTACTCACAACCAATAAAGAACAATAGCATTGCTGACAGAAAAATGGAGCAAAAACAAAGTTTTTACTCTATGATGTGTTCATCACACTGCACTGACAAAAATTAATGATACTTATGTCACATAAGAGTGTTTAGAATAGTAATCCCATACTGCATACAATGACTATAGGTTCTAATCCTATAAATAATCCTCGAAATTCTTTAGAAGGTTTAAAATATCCATTTTTCTTACATATTTCTTTTTACCTTAAATAAAATGGAACACAACTGGGTTTTTCTCTTATTCTGCTAGAATTTGCAAATCTGGATATTTAAAGTATATGTTAATGGTATCCCAAAATTAATTCTAAATTTGAGGAATTAAATTTCCTCTATGGTATATCTCTAAATATATGACTTTGGGGTATACTGCATTACTTATTATAGTACATACTCTAAGTTTTATAAACACTTAACATTTATGTCACAAGTAAGAAAATCAAAATTTGCTCACTAATGATATAAGCAAGGGACTATGCTTGTTATGCATTATCATCTCTATACATTAAAACCTCAATCATACTCAAATTCACTAAAGTGTGGTTTTCAATCTGCTAACTATGCATTCCATAATAGCCTGTAATTATTAAAAACTGACAAGAAAGCTACGCCACCTGTGTTTATGTGAAGCCAGGTAATGAAAAAAACAACAACGCTGTCATCACCTCTCAATTCCTGATTGCATTATCAAAACTGTAGCCGAGTTTGGCATCTGGGTGTGACCTTGTTAACTGCTAGGGTAATTAAATTTATTCTATTGGGAAAAAGGATGATAAATTATTAGCAAGAAGATTTTGTTCACATTTTATTAAATTGGCCTGTCAAAGGGTTGGCCAAATTATCAAGGGCCTCATTTATTGGAGGCCAGCCA